AAGGGGCGGGTCTATCAGTTACTATGGCGCTGCCCGCTAGCCTGCGGGAAGGGGGGATGGGCTCTGTTACTCACGGATCTGCCGCAGGGATTTCTGAACTTTTGGTGTCCGCAGGTCTGTAGCTGTGGTCGCAGGTCTCTGTCCCCAGTGGCTGCAGGGTCCTGGTATGCGTCTGAGATCAGACTGGGTGGTGCTGAGGCCAGGATCCTAGTCTCAAGCAGCTCTGTTTCCCAAGATGGCGTGGTCGCTGTGCCTGTGCTGGCCGCCCAGGAGTGTACGCACTGGGAGCGGGACTCCGCCACCTAAGACTGCCGGGTTTAGCAGCCCCTCAGAAGACCTGCAGAATCTAACTGTCCCTAGCTCATACACACACACCACACACGTCCACACACTCCTCTATCACTTCCTTGCACTCTCACACTCTCTCTCTCCCTACCTTCCTGCTGGTCGCCATTTTTTTCTCTCTGAAGAGATTTAAATATAAGATCATTTTCAGTGGCATGGAAAATCTGTCTTTAAATACCGGATCATATAAACTTAATATCAAAGAACCTTTTTAAGAGGATGCCTTTTGAGGGTCCTGTGACAAGGGTCAGGAGACCCAGAGAAGGCAAAGGGACATTTGTCTGGGAAGCTGAGGCATAGTTCCCACACTAAAGTGAAGAAATGAGAATTTGCTCAGCTCCTCGAAACTCTGCTTTTTGATTTATCACTCTGTGATTTTACCCAGCATTCCTTGCATCTGTCTCCTTCCCTTGAGTTTCATAATCTCCTTCAATTTGTACAATTAGTTGTAATTCTGGATGTGAAACAGACAATGGGGAGAGGGGAAGTGAAGGGGGTGGGATAAGGAGAAGAAGGAAAGAAGTAAGCAAAGAAAGTGTCTCCCAGGCCAGGCAAACCCTTGTGGAAAGGAGGAAACTGCAGAAATTCTTTAGGTTGGCCACATTCAAACCCCGTCAACTAGCAAAGTTTATCTCTACAAAGTGTTTCAGAGAATTGTCTATGAGAGACAGAACTCTGAGCTTCAGCTGCATTAATGACTGTGAGCAATCCAAATTCTTGTATAACTTTTAATCCAAATCAGACAATGTGGTTCTTGCTGGCTTGGTTCTGATTTACTTCTCGAATACAAATCTTGATTCTCCAGGGAGATTAGTATTTCTCAATGGCCCAATCACATCTGGTAGCATCTCTCCCCAGCACACAGGTCAGCACTGAGCTCACAGTGGGTATGTGGGGATGGGGTTATATTCAGCATCTCCTTTGCTTAAGCTGTGCATTAGGATGAAAACCCTTCATTGTCAAGATTTAAAATTTTTAACTTAAACGAAATCAGAAAAAGTCAGCGTGTCTTCTGGAGATCCAGAGGTAGAATTGGGATAAAACTACAAACCACACTGGAGATCTGTAAGGAAGAAGGACTGACTGACTTACCTCGGGTAGAGGACAATATTGGGCTTCCAAGGAAGGTTTCTTCACATCCACCCATCCACTTAGCAAAATACTTGTTGAATATGCAACAATGTTCTGTGATCAAATGCTTTGGATATTTCCTGGTCTCCTTACCTGAGATGTTGGCCTCCCATTCTCTGTAAAACTTCTGTTTGTTTTAGCATCTCAGCTCAGATATTATCTCTTCGGAATAAATTATAATATGATAGTGTAAACACTGTTTCAGGTGGACTGTCTCTACTTCCTCTGTTGCCAGTGCAGTATTTGGCACATAGCAGATACTCATAAATATTTGTGGAATAAATAAATGACTATTAACATTAACTGTTAGAATGAGGCACTGGTCTTGGGTCCTCTAATTTTGAGGCTTCCACTCAACTGCAATTTAGGTAGACCTTACTTGAATATCAGAACAGGTTTCTCCAGCAGCAGGTGGAAGAAGGGATTCCTGCACAGAAGGCAGTTAAAGCCAATGCTTTCAACACAGATGGATTCTGACAAATAAGCCAACAGGTTTGCATCAATTATGGGTAAGTACTTCTTTTTAGGGATCTAGAAATGAAGGCCCAGCTAAACACACTTTTGACTTCATGGTTCTACCTTTATGCAAATCATTTCTCAGTATCCAAATGAGCTGGCAAAAAATTGTGTTTATATTTATTATGCATACTCTTCCAGGAATTTCAATAGTTGGCTGTAAATCTCTGTATAGATTAACTGAGGAACTTTTTAAGAAAAGCTTATTTTAGATTAAGACAATGATAATTAGAGCAACATTTATATGGCTCTATAGCAGAATAATTTTCTGGGCATGCTGGTTGGGTAAAACTGTTCTCCTTCGCAGATAGTTACAAGTCATAAACACCTGATAAACAAGCTTCTGTTGACTAATCTGGGACTCTAACGCCCATTTCATATACTATGTTAGAAAACATAGTCTGTGTTTCACACAACAAATTTACAAACAGGATTTTTGGAACACAGGACTTGCATGTATACTAGTATGTATTCTCAACAATTTTCAGTGGCTCTGTTGCCACTGAACTTTAAACCTGGTGTTGATAGCATTCTTAGCTTTCCAAATTTACGTCCCACAATTCCTTCACATAACCCCATGTTGTTAACAGCCAAACTGAACTGCACACACTTACTAAACCTACAATGCTTCCAGCTGCGACACATTTGCTCAAGCTGTTCCCCTACTTCTGTTTGTTAAAATCTTGTTCTCCTTCAGAAAATCAACTGTAACCTTTCCTGATCTCCCTCAGTATGACCACTTCCTCCTGTAAATACCAAAGGTACTTTGTTTCTGCATAAAAAAATAAAGAGGACAGTGCCATTTATCAAGCAACTTCTATATACTGACCTTTGCACTAAGCACTTTACAAACATTGTTTAGTATAATCCTCATGACAGTGTATGGGAATAGGCATTAATTTTACATGTGCCTCTTCCATAGTACTCACTCTTTCTCTACCCACTGTCTGAATGCAGAGAGGAACAAGGTCTTTAGAGCAGGGTTTGGCAAACTGAAGCCCACTGCCTGTTTTTGTAAATAAAGTTTTATTGGAACACAGCATGCTCATTCATTTATACATTGTCTATGGTTGCTTTGTGTTACAGTGGCAGAGTTGAATAGTTGTGACAGAGACCATATGGCCCACAAAACCTAAAATATTTACTATGGCCCTTTACAGGAAAAGTTTGCCAACCCCTGGAGTAAGAGGATGATGAAACCACAAGATGGAAGGATCCTGAGTCCCTGATTAATTCACTGGAGCAGAACTCAGCGTTCCCTCACCCCACCCTGTGACAGAAGTAAGAAATAAATTTTCATTCTGTTAGTACATCAAAATACTGGGTTATTTGTTCCAGGAATTAGCCTAGCCTCACTAATACATGTAAACATGCTAGCTGTCCAGGACAGCAATCAAATAATTCCTCTTTCCCCGATCCAAGGATATGCAAAGGTTGTCATTGAGTTCTCCTATTGGCTTCTGATGCCTTTTAAAAATTACAGACGAGTATAAGAGAAATTCTAGGACCTCAAATCAGAAATATGCTCCACAAAATAACTTTTCCGAAGGCCTTGGTGACTAAGTTGCTTGTGATTTAATTGAGTTAATGAACACCATAGGAAAAATGTCCCAACAATTTCGGAGGCATGTACTTAGTTGTTGTTCAGGTGGGGGAGGTTAAATTGAGAAAATCTGTGAAGTACTTCTCCATTCCAGGCATTGCCAGAGTTAGAGGGGCTGAAATGGAAGCAGACATTTATTTGATGACAGCTCCTCTCTTGGAAGAACAGTTTGTGACATCTTTCTATTCCTTAGATGAAAAAACACTAGGGAAAGGCACCCACCAGGAGATAAAGATGAACTTTCCCATGATTGCTGGCATGTTGAAAGTGATTACAGAGCTCTAATGGAAATTTGAATTAAGTTAAGGGCCATCATCAGCTTATCTTTTGACTGTATTTTCTTTGGGAGAACAGCCTAGTCCAGTGATGGCGAACCTATGACACGCGTGTCAGAGGTGACACGCAAACTCATTTTTTTGGTAGTTTTTTTTTGTTAAATGGCATTTAAATATATACAATAAATATCAAAAATCTAAGTCTTGCCCTAACTGGTTTGGCTCAGTGGATAGAGTGTCGGCCTGCGGACTCAAGGGTCCCAGGTTCGATTCCGGTCAAGGGCATGTACCTTGGTTGTGGGTACATACCCAGTAGGGAGTGTGCAGGAGGCAGCTGATCGATGTTTCTCTCTCATCGATGTTTCTAACTCTCTATCTCTCTCCTTTCCTCTCTGTAAAATATCAATAAAATATATTTTAAAAATATATATAAGTCTTTGTTTTACTATGGTTGCAAATATAAAAAATTTCTATATGTGACACGGCACCAGAGTTAAGTTAGGGTTTTTCAAAATGCTGACACGCCAAGCTCAATAGGTTTGCCATCACTGGCCTAGTCAGTAATGTATAGGCCGTTTGGGTTCCTTGCTCATTGCCATGCTCAGGGATCACGATGGAAGTTGTTTATCCTCCTGTAGTTTTTGTTGTTTCTTTGCTTTAACAGCACATAGTGATCCTGGGGGGAATAAAGCTAGTTATAAATTAACTGATCCCAACTTCTTCCTTTCATGGACCCATCAAAGTTCATGTTGGATAACTGTTGCCAAGATGATTTACGCGGGCCCTAGCCAAATACTTTCTATGCGTAGGTCTACACTAGAAGCATAGGTCTCTACTGACGACAGTGCATCTTCCCTGCTGCTCTCGAATTCGTCTAGACTGGGGATTGCAAATTTGTATCAACAGCCCACATGCCTCCTGCAGACATGTTCTGTTTGAGCTTCACAGTATTTTAAAATCAGAATGATTTCATACAAAAGTCCAGGTTTCAACTTCTCTTAAAATTAAAACAGCCTAAAAATACCAAGCCCACACTCCCGTGTACCACCAATAATTTAGAGCTATAATTAGGTGGCATGCACCTTCCAGATGGATGTGGTTCCCAACACTCCCTCTTATCTTAGTTCTGGTCTGCCTTAGTCTTCACATCATCTGTCTGGTTTCTGGAATTCCTGGCTCTCACTCCAGGGCCTCTGGCTATCTCCTCTGCTTATCTCATTTTTTTTTTAATTGAAAGAGGGCTGGCTTTAGAGTCAGATAACCTGGATTAGCAGTGGTGCGAGTGGGGCCTGTGCCGGCAGCAGGTGCAAGCACCCGGTGGTACCACGGCTCCCGGGAGCAACGAATTTTCAGTAACCACCAGAGGCTCGCCCTGATGACAGCCTTGGTCTGGCGCCCGGCTCACCTGCTCCACCATCCCACCATGTTCTGCATGTGCCTCTGGTGGTCAGCATACGTCATAGCAACTGGTTGTTCAGTTGTTCAGTTGTTCCGCTGTTCAGTCTATTTGCACTATTTGCATGTTAGGGATATATATATATATATATTACCAGCTAGAGGTTCCACATCATTAAAGTATTATAAATTAAGATATCCAAACTGTGTGTGTGGTGTAGGCTCAGAGTTTTGATTTTTATAGGTGACTTTTTTTTCCTTTCTCAAAACCCCAGGCAGATGATATGTTTATGCAGGGATTTCAGTTCCATTCTGTCCCTCCTAAAGGCCTGGAGTCACATTTCTTTGTTTGCTTTCTGAAGGTGTTAGGAAACTAGTTCCCTTGCCTAAAGGACCCATAACTCCATCGGAAACTTCTGTGGCTTCCTTCTGGTATCAGCTCATATTTACTCTTCTGGCTGGATTTCATGGCATCCTTGGCACCTGAGGATCTATTTTTTTCTTATCAAATTTGGTTATGTGGATAATATTTTGTTACATTGTATCTAGCATTTCTGTGTGGCAAGGGGTACATTAGGTTCGGCTCAGTGGGCTGCGTGGTCAGAAATGGTCTAGTAAATTTTCTATATATTATTACTGGAGGCCCAGTGCACAAAAATTTGTGCACTTGGGTGGGTCCCTCAGCCTGGCCTGTGCCCTCTTGCAGTCTGGGACCCCTCGGGGGATGACCACCTGCTGGCTTAGGCCAGGCTCCCCGGGGGATTGGGCCTAAGCTGGCAATCAGACATCCCTCTGGCAGCCCGGCAGCCCTCAGGGGATGTCCACTTGCCAGCGGGGAGCAGACCTAAGCTGCAGTCGGACATCCTT